TTATGGACCTTGGCCCATGCAGACTGAAAGGCGTTTTTGTATTGGTCGAAGCTGGCGTAATTGCTCAGCTTACATCGCTCAAGCTCCGCAATGCCGTCTTCAGCTACTTTGTATGGATGCGGCTTATAATTCAGCTCCAATGCTCTCCAAATAGCATGCGGCTGGTTGATTTTGCGGTGTTGTAAGAACTGGAGAATGGGCTTCGATATGTGATTGCAAATAACCTTTCTCGCGTGGCTGATGAATTTCTTTTGCATCATTGAATACCGATGGTCGGCTGGGAGGGCAATGACTTCGCCATATACAATGGCTTCAATTGCATTGTCTTCAAAGACTTGTTGCATGCTCATTACCCAAAGGGTGTAGTTCTCCTTTCCCTTCAAAGCTTCGAATTTGTCGTCATCAGTAAGCTTGCGATGAATAGTCGCAGCTATTTTGATGTGCTCGGTGGCTTTGCGAACGGCTCTTGCGTATTGGACCTCTTCATTGGTCATTGCCGGCGTCGGTTGATGGCTTGGTAGACGTCTTAGCGGTGCATTGCCAGTGGAAAAGTGAGATCTCCGCGAAGCTGTTCTTTGAATTGGCTCTCCACTATGGCGACTGGAGGCTCTAGGAGTATGTGTTCCGTTCGGGTGAGCTGTATAGCTTCTTCCCGGCTTGCTCGACGCAGTTCGGTTGCGATACATTACGTCGGCATCTGTATGGGGCCCATCGGTCTCTGACTGGTCCGATGGTCCATGGATTGGCTCACTTGGTTGAGTAAAGAGAGAGGGTGCTCTCCTACTTTGAATGTTAAGCCTATATCTATCAGACGTTGTACTGGCGTCTAAGACATGTGGTTGGTTGGTGCCAGTGATCTCTGGCCCATATTGAGGCAGCGAGGTCGAAGCTGGCTGCTCTCTTATTGGTTGGTTGCCAATTGCTCGCGATGAAGGGCCCGGCGCCGAGTCCTGGATCACGGTATGCGTATCGTCTTCAACATCAGAGGGGTAAGCGTCGCTCATTGGTGGAGCTTCACTTTCACTCCAATCGAGGTGATCGGTCTCGAGACGGCGACGTTGAGAACGTGTGGTGCGTCTATCAGACATTGTTGGAGGAGTGGACTCAGGGGTAAAGCAAGTAAAGAATTGATAGCAAGAATGAAGCTATTCCCGGCTTACGGAGACGAAGCCGGGCTCATAACCTGTTGTAATTTACAATGGTCTGAGAAGCACTATGCATGAGCAATGGGCAGTAAAACGAGATGATTTAAGTCTGCCTCCCGAAGGAGGCTTCTCTATAGCTATTTATAATGGTCAAATGCATACGATATGCCTTTCATGAAACTATTGCGTGATCAGCTCACTAGCAATATGAAAAGGCCACGTTGCTTGATGCATTCAACCAAGTGCTCTGAAGCTCTCTATAGCGCTGCTCAGCCAAGCATTAGCAGTGCTTGGCGAGCTTCAGATCACAACATATACTTCTTCCCTCTTCTTGCACCTCACCCTTTGAATCGTCCTCTATCAGGATGGCTGACCAGTGTTCACTGCGGCTGGTGCGAGTAAGTCTCCCCGCCATGGCAGTGTGACCTGTACTAATGCCTCAGGAACTGGCTCAATTCGAGCGAAGTGAGCAACTCGGTATGAGATGCTCCAGTCCTTGAAATCTCACGCTGATACCAAGATAGCTTTCACTGTCGCCTACGATGAAAACAATACGCGAGACATCCAAGCCCTCATTATCGGGCCCCCAGGCACACCCTACGAGCTGGGCTTTTATGAAGTGAGATTCAACCTCAGATTAACTAGATTCTCATGGACTGATGCTAACCCTGGCAGTTTGCGATAAGAATCCCTTCTGGTGAGATATTCTGATATCATCACAAATCATCCCAAGGGTTAACCAAGTCAGATTACCCTGCGAGCCCGCCAGTGGTGAGGCTCAAGACTACCAACCGGGGACGCACACGCTTCGGTCCTAACCTCTACGCAAGTGGGAGGGTTTGCCTGTAAGTGTTGCCCAAGGACATTCAGACCAGGTACTGACTGTGCTAGATCGATTCTGGGGTAAGGTCATCCCGGTTCATACTTCATATTAGACATCACTGAACATGCAACAGCACATGGCCCGGAGACCGCGGGGAGGAATGGTCCCCCGCACAGGGACTGGAGTCAGTCTTGCTGTCAATTCAGAGTCTGCTGTCCTCAAACCCGTACATCCTCGAGCCGGGGTTCGATACCAGAGGTAACGACACCGAGAACATGGAGGCATACAACTCCAAGGTGATACACTTTCCCGGAGAGTGTTCATGAGAATACTAACACATTTATAGATCCGACACGAGAACCTACGATTGGCAGTCATCGCACCTCTAGAAAAAGCCCTCCAATTTCCTTTCTTGACTTACCAACACATATCGCAACGAAATGACCAGCCACCTGTATCTGGAGCAGCACCTGGCGACCGACGAGGACCGGACCAATCTTCACTCAGTGCTTTTGCTGACTTTTCCAAGCAACGATTCCTCTGGTATCTGGATCTTTACAAGAACGCAATTGAAAAAGGTATCGTGGACGAGGCACGGAGACACAAAACCCCATTTATCCAGATGCCATTCGAGGGCGTGGGCAATATTATGCAGGGTACATGGGATTACACCGATCTGAAGGCCCGCCTGGCAAGCGTCCAAGGACAGTTGATGCAGGAAACACACAAATGGCCTGTCGAGGGCCTGGCGCTGGTCAAGGAGGACGCTGGGATTGCGGTGAAGCTGATGGGGCAGCATGAACAGATCGTTGCGGAACTGAAGTCCCAGAGACAGGTTATCGATCTCTCGCTCGCTGATGGCAACCCTTTCGTCTGGCGACTCACTTACGTTGGCCGCACGGAGTCTCGACTGGAGGGTGGTATCATCAAGATCAAGATCTTCATCAGTCCTCGGCACCCGGTAGAGCAGCCCCGTGTGTTTGTTGAGTCCCCACTCTATCATATCCGTGTCTCCAAATTGGGTGTTATGATTTATCTGCCAGCGCGAGCTGACGATATCCGCCATCACATCGACGGCATCATCAACACCCTGGAGGATGACAACCCACCATACAACCCACTAATGACAGTGAACCCCGAGGCAAGCGCTTTGTGCTGGGGAACTGAAGTGGAGCGCAGGCTCTACCGGCGCAAGCTTCGAGCGTCGCTGGAGGCATCCTAGGCCTCAACATGGATATGGGTTCTGTCAATCCATGGAGAGTCGTAATGAGGTCCCATCTTTAGCTGGTCTGTTTCATCGGTTCAACTTTGCTTGATTTGCAGGTCATTTCCGTCTAGCTGTGCTTCGAGTTCATGAGAATTCGCGACGGCGGAGAGGCCGGGGATTGTGGGTGCGTGGCCTCGGAGCAACAGATCTAGACTACCAATATCTGTTATCCCAATGCTGTTCCAGGCATAATAATCAAAAGATCTTCCACCTTCACAGAAGCAAGTACAAGTAAGTGACAACCACTTGGGCAGGTTGGACTAGAAGTGCCACGACTGAACGCACGGATCACCCGATTCTCCGCAAGAACTTCCCCTTTTCACCAGTTCAACCACTTTCCAAATCACATCATGTCGGCGAAAAGGCGCACACTAGAACTCGGTAACGTCCTGGTGGTCGGAGGCTGCGGTTTCCTGGGGTGGCACATTGTCGATCACCTGCTGAACTTCCCCTCCGAGACCGATCCCAGCGTCGCCCTTCCCAAGCCGCAAGGCGATGCACGCTTCGACTTCCCGACTCTGGGATCGCGGTACCCGGATTACCACTCGACAGTGTCCGTTGTCGACTTGCGCACAACCATCAACCGTCTCCCTGGCGCGAAGTACTATGATGGCGACATCACGTCTGTCGAGTCCATGATGGAGGTTTTCAAGGCCGTCAAGCCGGATCTGGTCATCCACACTGCTTCGCCGTCTATGATTGAGGGCAACAAGCCGCTGCTGCACAAGGTCAATGTGGAGGGAACCCGGACGCTTCTCGAGGTCGCTGGTGGTGAGCACGGTGATTGGGGTGGCAAGTGCAAGGCTTTCGTCTACACTAGCTCCAGCTCCGTCGTGCACGATACTCAGAGTGACCTAAAGAATGTCAACGAGGAGTGGCCCTACATCCGCGGCCCATCGCAGAAGGAATACTACTCCGAGACTAAGGTGAGATTCAGTGAATGGCATTTCTTCTGCACCAATTGCTAACTATTTCCTTGCAGGCCGATGCTGAGGAACTCGTTCTGAAGTACAACCGCCAGTCCCCAACCGAGATGATGACCTGCGCCATTCGCCCGGCCGGCATCCACGGAGAGAAGGACACCACAGTGACACACAAGATCCTGGAGCACGGCGCCCAGGCATCGGATAGGGTGCTACGGATGCAGCTGGGTGACAACGAGAACCTCTTCGACTTCACCTACGTCGGCAACGTGGCGTATGGCCATCTTCTCGCCGCGCACCGGCTTCTGGCGAGCTACGATCTTCGCGCGGCTGGTCAGGGCGGGCCCCTTGACTACGAGCGCGTGGATGGCGAGGCTTTCAACATCACCAATGATTCCCCTGTCTACTTCTGGGATGTGACCCGTGCCATGTGGGCGCTTATCAACCGTGTTGTTGAGCCTCACCAGGTTTGGGCTTTGCCTGAGGGTCTTCTCGAGTCTGTTGGTGGTATCGCTGAGACTGTCATGGGATGGTTTGGCAAGACCCCCGTCTCACAGCTCGAACTGTGCGGTATTCTTGCATGACTCGTTACTACTCCACTGAGAAGGCCAAGCACCGTCTCGCTTACCTGCCTGTCGTGCCTTTGGATGAGGGTATTGCCCGTGCGGTTGGATATATTGTTGAGCAGAACCGACTGGCCGAGGGAAAGAAGGCCTTGTAATTGAATTTAGATGAGATTGAAAAGGCATTTTATGCTGTATTAATATGACTATTTGCCTATTTTCCTGAAGCTGTACGTTTTTAACAGCTAACGTTACTGTAGGATTGCAAGTATTGTTGAACCAGTTCATTGTTATCACGTATATATCCTTAAAAAACATACCTGGTCCCTGACCGGCGTTTCTCATCACATTGTTACAAGCATTCATAGAACATAACCAGCGCGAAGGGCTAAAAACCCCTCGACGCACTTGTAATGACGTCTCCCGGAGAAAAACACTATGAAACTCCAAGTATGCAATCCGCTTAAACAAGATATCTGAAACCCTTCCGCATACGCAACGACTCGTCGGCATTCTCGAGGATATCATTATCCGTCGTGTCGGCCATTTCACCAGCCTCGATCTGCTTGTTCAGGTCAAGCAGCATGTAGCGGAAGTACCAGCATCCCGCGACCGTGACACCGAACATGGCCAGCACAATTCCATAGCTGGATCGGTAGCCGTTATCCTCCAGATCCCAGACGTATGAGCCGGCGACGTTACCCAGTTGACTGAATGCGTTGATCATGGCGATGGCAACGGCACGCTTGGCTGGGGGACGTGGGAAGGAGGAACTGATCCATGAGTAGAACACGATGAATCCTGCGTAGGAGCCTGCCTGCAAGAAGAGTGCCACGTATCGAGCTGCCACGTTGAGGGTGGACATACTGATGATGAACCCGACGGCTCCCATGGCGAGGGGGCCGAAGATGTGCCAGACCTTCTCCTGGGTTTTATCCGCGTGCCATGCGTTGATGACGGAGAAGATACACGAGAACACCCATGGGGGAGCACTCATCAGGAGGGTAGGGACATAGCCGAATCCAAGAGTACCGGTGAGAGTGGGCTGTGAGGTGGTTAGTCAATGTGTTGCAATGTTGGGCTATTGGGAATGAAACTTACGAAGAAGGCGTTGAAAGACAATCCAACGACGTAGGCAACAAAGGTGAACATCATCACGTAGATCTTGGGGTCCTTCAGGGCCATCATCAGACCACCCATGGCACCGAGCTCCTCGGAGTCGGTATCAGCTTCACCGACATCCTCAAACATACGAAGCTGAGCCACCTGACGTTCTTCCTCGGTGAAACCGCGAGCATTGGTGGGCAGATCAGGCAGGATGAAAGCAGCCAAGACAGCAATGAACATGGTCACGGCACCCTCAATCCAGAACAGCCAGCGCCACGCAGCGTGGCCCAGGACGCCCTGCATGTTGGACAGGACACCGGCACCAACAAGGGCAGAAAAGGCGTTGGAGATGAGGTTACCACAGAATAGGAGGGCGTTGCGGGAGGTCAACTCGCGGCGAGTGTACCACTTGGATAGGATGAGCAATGCACCGGGCAGGAAGGCAGCCTCGATGAAGCCCAACAGGAAACGGATGGCCACCATGTGTCCAAAGGTCTTGGCGTTACCGGACAACGTGGAGATGAGACCCCAGAGGAGCATGGCACAGGCGATGTAGAGAGAGGGCCGCGAAATGCGGTTGATGAACATGTTGGAGGGCACTTGCATGATGATGTAGCCCACATACAGAATACTCAGACACGTCGAGTACTCCGTGTTGGAGAGTTGGAGGTCATCCTGCAGACCCTTCAGACGGGCCGCCGCCATGTTGTTGCGGTCCAGGTAGTTCATGATATAGATAAAGATGAACAGACTGCATCGGGCGTCAAGTTTCAACTTGAGACGCTTCTCGACGGCCGCACGACGAGCAGGATCCATCTGGGCAGCGAGGCCTTCTTGCTTGGTTGAGGCAATGTGCTCGACATTTTCATACCTCTCCTTCTCGGCCTCGACCTCTGTCCGGTCATTGGTAGTTCGTGAGATGTCGTCCGCCATGACTGCAGCTGTGTAGAAAACAGAATCAACCGGGGCAGCCAGGGGCAGAATCTTCCCTTTAAGACAGAAAACCCTTCACACCCCCCGCGCTAATTTCCCGATTTTTTTCTGTACCCCGGTACCCCCACGCCCAAAGTCATGAGACGCGGGGGGTCACGGTGGAGATAGTGTCTTGGCCGAGTCCGCACCCCGGGACAGAGAATGCCCGGGGGCACTCGGTCCAGCCGACGAATGGCATTCGCGGCCCACCGTCCGGTATGTATTGATTCCTGAATGTGACGGTACGCGAGATGAGGAGACATATAGGAGAAGGTCTCCCAGAGTCCCCTCAGAGCCTCAGAGGAATCACTGAATCTCCCGGAATTCCAGACTCCTAGACTCCTAGAGTCCCTGAGTCCTAGTCCCTGAGTCCCTGAGCGCAGATGTTTCGAAAAGGAAGATCGGCTCGGCGGAACAAACCGGTCGGGATGTCAAAGTGGTCAAACCGGGTCTGTGCAAACCCGACTCTTCCCCGCCTCTCCGCAAATTTCTCTCCCACACTAGTCGCTTGGCCCCTGTTTTTTTCCCTATTTTTCCTATCCCGGGATCACTCCATGTTTACTACCGTGTGAGGCATTTAATTTAAAACTGAATCGGGACCCGATTGTGGCTGTCCCCAACCATACATGTACTCCATACATTTTCCCCCAACTCTCCCCACACACTAGACCCGTGAACGTCATCCAGATGCAAACCTTGACAAATCAATATTCGGCAGCAGAATTTGACTGAGATCCACTGCAACGCTAAGCTTACGCTCAAACGGGGAACCCGACGACAGATCCTGGAGTCGGCATCCCACGTTCGATGCCGAGATGACGTTCAATGGCTCGCACTTGCATTCGGTAGATACACTCCGGTGGCTTCAGCTTGGTCGGTTAGCTCAATACCCTCTGCCAATTCATCTTCGTGCCAGCCCTCTCGGTCATCCTTGACAAGTCGGACGAAGCACACATCAAGGATCAGCGCCACGGCACTGATGGCAACGCCGAAGAAAAGTGCCGCGCGATAGCCCATGATTTGACTGCCCGATCGGCGCGCTATCTCTACCTCAATGGTGGAAGCGAACCCCAGACCGAGACTGTTCCCGTATAGATTGAGTGTGCCGATGACGGACCCCGCAATCCCTTGTTGATTACGTCGGACCGAGTTACTGGCAATGATCTGCGCCGCTGTGTACACAAAGTCGGGACAGAAGGAGAAAAGCACGACCGAAGGGAAAATTTGTGCCCAGTAAGTTTGGTGAAGTGGCACCGTCGCCATGAGGGCATTCGAGACTAAGATGGTGATGGTGCCGATGGCGAGAATCCATTGTGCTGCCATTCGTGGGATCATCCACGCTGCGAGACAAGCAGCCCCCGTCGCACAGACCACAAACGGTGTCCAACCTACGGCGAAGTGGAGGGGAGACCAATGCCACACCTTTTGCAGCCATAGGACCTGGTACCAGATCAGGGTTCCCACGGCCATGTAGTTCAACAGCACAACGAGGAGCAGCATGAGGAAGGACGGAGCCTTAAAGATATCCAGAGGCATGATTGGTTGGGCAGCATAGTTTCTTTCCCAATGCAAGAAACCGACGAACATGACCACCGAACTAATCAGGAGAATGATCTCATAATGAGTGGCCCAACCGACACTAGGTGCTTGACTACCGACGCATTAGCAAGTGAATATTGACTTGGGAGCTCGTCTTACTTCCAAACAAAGTTGAACAGAATCAGTGAGCCTGTGCCCAAGGCTGATCCAATACAGTCAATTTTACCATGCCGGTCAACAGGTGGTTCACGCGAACTCAGTGCCCAGATAGGAGCAAAAGTGACGACACCCAGACAAGCACTGTACTTTGTCAGTACTTGGACTCAAGCACCACAGGCCCACTTACATGAAAATGAAGAACCACTTCCATTCAGTCCGCTCCAAGAAAGCTCCCAAGAACAAGGCCCCAAAGTAGCCTCCCACCGGTGCCGATGCGCCAAAGAAACCCAAACTGACATTTCGCACGCGACCGGGAGGATTGGTACTGGAGATCATGGCTACTGCATTAGGCATGATGAAGGCACCTCCCAAACCGGCGAGAGCCCGCATGGTGACAAAGGCGAAGAAGTTGGTGCAGAAGGCACTGGCGAGTGTACAAATCGTCAGCCAGGCGCCGCCGGCGAGGAGGAGTTCTCGATGGCCGTAGACATCTCCCAATCGACCGCTGACTAGCACGAATGTTCCTTGAGTTAGTCTGTAGAGATATTAGCATTGATGGTTGATAGTGAAATTCAATGCCGGGCCCTCACGCATAGCTCGCAGCCATCCACGAAGCATACGTATCTTTAGCACCTAATGATTCATTCAAGGCGCTGCCCCCAGCAACGCCAGCGAAATTAACGGTCATCTACGGGACTTAGTATGGGAATAACAAACAGAATACAGGTCAATGCCACACCTGTACGACATTGGCTAGCACCAGCAATGTAGTGATGGCCACCCGGCGCGATTGGGTAGTTCGACTAGGCAGGGATCTTTCAAAGACCGGCTGACCCGCCCTGGGCGTTGAGTCTGGGACATGCTGTGTCTCTGTTTCGGGGGCATTGGGCTTGACTTCAATTTTGGGTGCACGAGATGGGGATATTGGATGCACCTCGTGAATAGCGTGTAACATGGACATCTTGAGAGTGTTGAGTTGAAGTTCAAAAAGACATGGGCGTTGCTTTCTTCAAGGTAATCTTTGAGTGCGGAGAAGGGTCCAAGCCAATGTTCCTGTATACTTCGGCTGGATTTATCAGCGCGGTGTTAAATCCGACTCTGCGGAATATAATTCCATGTGGCGGCTTTGCGAATATTCCGTTCAAAGTTCTCAAGAAACATGGTGTTTCTTCCAATGCTCTAGGCGTCATAAGGTTTGGATTTACAAAAAAGCTTGAATAAAGTTGAAGGATTCCCAGTCCGAGGTGTAGTTAGCGGTTATTGAGAAAGCTCAAGCTCAGACATAAGAAACTTCACTGCCCAGGTCGGGACATGCTGCTGGAAATATTGGACAATCCCCTCTTGCAGAGTACCTGCATTATCTATTGAAGTGATATGAGCCCGGGCGCATATGGTCGCTCCTCCGAGTCTATCCTCAACGCCCATTTTCTCCGGAAGATATCAATAGACTCAAACATGCCGCCGAGAAGGCCGGCCTTCACGTCCCCAGGGCCAGGAATCTACGTTGGCTAGCATTCTGCAAGGTCGATCCTACTATGTGTACTTGGTTTTTCGACGTCCCACCTGAAAGCGGGAGAACTAGGTAATGTAAGACTGACGATCAGAGACTAAAGGAAGCTTGAGGGAGATAACAATGGAATTAAGTTGAGCGAACATCCGCTCTTACATGTCGATGACTGTACCCCCACGCAATGACGCCGAAGTGGGCCGCGTCGGCAAATCCTCGGATTCTTGATCTTGGCTCTATCTTTCTAGTCTATCGGTCCTCGCGAACAATGTTGCGGTATTCATTGTTGGGATCCTGCTCCTCTTCCTCTGCCGATTGAATCGTCTTCTTCACGCGGCAAGGGGCTCCAACGGCAACAGAGAAGGGCGGGATATCCTTTGTGACCACAGACCCGGCTCCGATGGTACATCCCTGGCCGATTCGAACGCCCGGCAGGACAATCACGTTACTTCCGATCCAGCAGTCATCCTCGATGAAGATAGGGTGGCCGAATTCGACAAATTTGCGGCGTGAAAGAATGCTGGTATCGTGGCCGGCAGTGATCAGACTCACACCGGTGCCGATTTGGACTCGATCGCCGATGACTACAAGGCTGGTATCGAGTATTGTCACACTGGACTTGGTCAGAAATGTTCGATAGGAATGTCCGACTCGAACGATCGTGAAACTCACTTCCAGTTGAAGAAGCAATCCTTTCCGATACTGATATTGCTGCCGTAGTCAGGCAGAAAAGGTGGCTCGATGAATGTCCCATCTCCAACTCTGCCAACGACCTTTCGTAACAGCTCAAGACGCACGTCGGCGATCTTGTCGTAGGTCACGGTCTTTGTGTCCAGGTTGTTGTAGTCTGCCGCCAGTCCGCGGCAGCGGTGACGTGCCTCGAGCAACTGAGGGATGGTGGGATTGTACCTGAACTGTCAACTCTGTGCTTAAAACACGTTGGCGGACATACATCATGCCTGATATCATGCGGTCGTAGTCCTCACACACGGGTATTCCCTGCAACCCCTTGGAGAGCGCGATGATTTCGGGGCGTTTCTCTGTCGCAGCCATGATTGTGAATGAGTGGAAATAAATGTACAAAACTACAGAGGAAACGAGCAGAGCGCGAGATATAAGGCGGGGATTCCCGACAATTCGCCGGAATGCCAAGGAATTGGGCTTCCTTCCTATTTTGGTAGAACCGCCAGCACTTATGTCATCATATCCATTCAAGGTAAGTTAACTTAAATTATGGATAGTCTACAGCCTTGTTGTGCACACTCACTTCATCCACATCCCGAAGTGCCTCTCGGCGTGCAGCATCAACATCAAAGGCGGCCTTGCTGTTGAACAGGGTCTCCATCTCCTCGAGACTCTTGCCCTTGGTCTCCTTGACAAAGAAGAACACAATAATGGCCATGACAACATCGAGCGCCGCATAAAAGATGAAGACATAGCTACCCCACGCGCTCATCATGTAGCGTGTTACGAGTGAGAACAAAAAGTTGAAGAGCCACTGCGTGGATACTGCGACGGACGTACCGACCTCACGGATTCGTGTTGGGAAGATCTGGATTCCTGTCAGCCATTGCGCTGGGAATGAACGAAAGAATTACTTACCTCGGCGGTGTATGGCCAGGGCAACGGACCCCAACTGAACTGATAGATCGAATTGGTGAGGAAGATCATTGCCACCATTCCGATACCAGCCGGAGTGGCTTTGGAGTTAGGGGGTGGAGTGGTCTCCTTGACAACTGTCACAATAACGAAGCAACAGGCCATCAGCAGAGCCGAAATCCACAGGGTCGGCTTGCGTCCCCACATCTCCGAGAAGAACAAGATATAGATGCCGACTGTGATGAACTTCTCCGCACCAAACAGACCAGTGATCAACAAGGACTGGTCAGTGTCATCTCCAACAATCAACTTGAAGAATTGGGGACCGAAATACGCCAGCGCAGTCATGCCCGTGCATTGCTGGCCGCAAAACATGAAGAAGGCGAGGAGGAGTCGGTAACGGTTGGCGGGTTCTAGCAGCTCACGCTTCTTGAAGCCCTCGGTGGCTCGCAGCTCTTCGGAGAGACCGACTCGGATTTCATTGAACTCTGCCTTTACCTCGGGACCTAGTCCTGGTCAGTGACGGTTCAGTGGTTGCCCACGGTTCTCTTACCATCACTTGCGCGAATCCATTTCAGGCTTTCATACGCTTCGTCATATCGACCCTTCTTGGCCAGCCAGCGGGTACTCTCGGGCATGGCAAACAGACCCAATGCAAGGACTCCTGCTGGGACCATTTGAAGACCGACCGGGATTTGCCACTGCTTCGAAGATACCGGCAGGGTGATCTTCACCGCATAGTCAATCCAGTAGCTCAACATGACACCCAGCGCAAAGAGCCACTGCATCCCCGATCCCAGCTTTCCCCGAATCTCCTTTGGCGCCATCTCGGCGTTGTATGCAGGGACCACCGCTGTACCGGCACCAAGACCCAGCCCAGCCACAAACCGCCCGATGTAGAAGCAGACTAGCGAATGCGACGGTACAACCTGGATGATTACACCGATGCAAAATACCGTCATGGCGGCTTGCACAGTCTTCTTCCGTCCGAATCGGTCGGACACCCAGAAGATGCTCAGTGCGGATAGAAAGGCGCCTACATTCTGCAAACTGACCATCACCGCACTGACGGTGGTTTGGTCTTTGTAGCCGAAATCATTGACGTAGGATTTGAACTCGAGGATCCCCCCTGGAGGTGTTAGTCGATGCCAATCCAGCGGGGTATAGCACTTACCAACGATGCCAGTATCATATCCAAACAGGAATCCAGCAGTACAAACGAAGAAGCCAAAGAAGTACGCTCGGAAGGCACCTAGCCTCGTGCCTGGTAAACCCATAGCGTATGCAAGAAAAAAAAAAGTCAACCGGAGAACATGCCGATATAGCTAGATAGACCAGACTTTAAGTTACAAGCTTGGAAGTCTCTCTGCGCACGCAACCTGTGAGCGCGGATAACGCCATAGCACGCCATAGCGTTGAACATCACCTATCAACGTTGACTTCAGGGCTGTCGGGAGGCCTTAGCTGTCCAATGAGCCAACTTACTCTTGAATTATACCACCTAAAAGGGATATTCCTTGGATTTAGTACTTCTACCTAAACATAGCCTTCCTTTGTCATCTACTTCCATGGATCTCAGCTTTCCCCGCATTTTTGGTCGCCAAGGCGGCTCGTCGGCTCGGTCGGCTCGGTCGGCCATCGGCTGGCGTTGACATGTAGACGTATAGGGGTGTCATCGTGGATCATCCACATTCACTTCGGTCTTCTGTCTCCATTTCATTTCCTCGGTCAAATGAGGGTGACATGGAAAAATAGATCTTAGCGACTTTTTGAGACGCGGGATTTCTCTTACATATGCCAGGGCTATGGAAGAGATTAGCCTATGGTTCGAAGTAATTTATACTGAGGGGCAGGTCTAACAATCAATAGGCTCATAATTCTTCGTCCTGCAACATCCGTTGGTCACGTCAAGCGGTAGCCAACCTCATTTTGTACCCCTTGCCTAACAGACTCAGGCTCCGCCACAACTGTCAACCTATCACCATGCCCAACACTACAGGGGTCTAGACCGCCAATCACGTTGTCATCTAAGTAGACAGGCAAGGAGGATTGTTGATCAAAGAAACCACGTTCTATTCGCCCTCTTCTCGCTTTGAGATATTGGATCATTCCACCATTATAATAGTGGAGCAGTGTCTAGCAGTAAACACATTCAGTGCATATCTAACGACAGAACATGCGAGGTTTGCCGTTTACCCCTGGTTTCTCCCTCGCACGACACACCCGAAAGAGGTCAGGCTCCTTGTTTATCTACATAGACTCGAAGGGTTGGGTTTATAGAGGATATAATTCAATTTGGAGATCAAACTTCCAGCACGCATGATACTGGACATCAGAAATATCTATAGCATCTATTCTTTGACACTTACGTATATGTGTGACAGAAATATATACTATTACCAGAGAATTCCATGTCATGATTATACTAATCCCATGATGTACGAGGTTCTCTGGACCGAACTATCCCTGGTGGTTTGTCGTGATTCCGGGTGGTTGTACGGGCTCGATATAAGTCGCATTGGTGCACTCCGCATCTGCGGATGGGTTGCAAGGACCAGAGGTGCTTGGGCAATAGGGTGGACAGCCGTACTGTCGGGTTGCTGAGGGTCAATTAGGCGCGGCGGGTTGTTGCAGAAAGGCAATCCTACCCAAATGTATCAATCTACAAGGTAGTTCCTTTGCTTGTCCTGACAATGGTTATAATAGACTAACCATATTAATTACAATGCAAAAGAAGACTGCGATCCAGACGGCGTATAAAGGTGTGCCAGTCCAGGATACGACTTTGGTCCATACATTACAAAACGGAACTAGACTACCACGAGAAAAGGCAAACACATTTCGACCAAGAGACAGCAGCAGCAAAAGCCGGTCAGTGATGAATTTTTTTTTTTCCAAACTCTCTCTTGAATGCCGGATTACATAAAAACTTGATCGCCAGTTTAGGGTCATCTTGAGTCAGATAGCCGACAACAACTTTCTGGCTTTGACCATCAGGGCCAGATATTACCACCTGCCTGCTGTCCGGATACCGTTGACGAAGCTGGTTATCGGTTGTTCTTGGGGAGTCAGTTTCTACAATTGTTGATTTGTGCATTTGTGGGGAATATGCTTGGGAAAAGAGAGTCGGGGAATAAAAGAAATAGAAGGATGGAACCTTTTATCTCACATCCACTCAGCACCAGACCTTAAGCTACAGTATTGTGTGGCATTGTTTCTCTCCACCCCGCGCTGTCCCATACCAAATTGAAGGAGCACGTTTTGTGTCGACTCGGAGGTTTTAATCGCCAACATTATCGCCTTTGAGCGAGTCGGCGGCGATCTCGGAGGTTTGCTGGATCATCTTGGCGATGTGGGCTCGACTAATATGTTCATGCAGGGCCAAGAAGTACATTGAGAATCAAATAGAGCCTAATATTAAAGAAAAGTTGAACCTGTGAATTGTGTGAATGGTGTTTAGCCTTAGAAGCACACGGTCTCTCATTAACGATGCGAGGAACCCCTATCCGGGTCTCTCAATTGTTCTATGACAACTTGTAGAATCCTAAAGAATCACAATGAAAATGAGATAAACATCTTTATTCGTCGATGGACTTGGCACGCTTTTGCAGAATATGAATGCCTGCACAGTTCCGTTGAGGGCATGTCTGTCTTTGAATTCAGGCCTCATTCGTTTGTTCTCTCCTGTTTTATTCGTTTACACAGCTTAGCTCCCGTCTTGGCTTTCCTTAGCATATAGTCCAACATCCCCGTAGAAAATAGAACGCAGATCATTCATCTCTTTCCCCCCACTTCTCTCTTTCTCTTGCTCTCTAGTTTGTGGCTTATTAGACACTTGACCTAGATTGCTACTATTACCTGTTGATGCATCAAAGACTGCTGTCGAGGTCAAAGCAAAACAGGAAAATGGTGGCGTCTGAAACAACCGGGTTATACAGCAACGTTATTCGTTTTGATAAAATATTAGCCCTCCGTCATCCATGGATTCTATTCAAGCTTGCTGTGTCATGTCATGCAAAATGTTTCTCTTGCTTTGTATCTGTAGCTCATCTGGCGCGTGGCATCGTAGGTAGTATCGCAGAGAGGGACTTAATTCACTCGATACTACTGGGGTTATGAATAGAGTCGCACGTGCCTTGATACTAGATACCGCTCGTTTTTTTCACTTTTGAGTCCAGTGGTCACATAAAGACGCGCTTGATGCGTCCTTGGCTTTTCTCCTCATCAACCTTCCCACCTCCTGCTCAGCTCCCTATCTTCTCTCGCAAGTCCTATCCATCTTCATATTCGTCTGGGCCAGACTAACAGGAATACAACGTCCAGCACCCGCAGCAGCCATGCGTATCAATGTTAGCCCTTTTGAGCTTCACCCAAACCAGTTCTTGCAGGACTTCAACGTCCCCTATGACCCAGAGCTTCCAATCAGCTACCTCTTCAGCCTCGTTAGCAAGGAGCGGAACTGGAAGGCAAACTCCAGGACCTGGAGAAAAAATTGGAACAAGTGTATGGCATGTGAATATGACCGCCTGATCGGATATTGCAATACGAACTTGGAGACCTGGCAAGAGCTATGTCGACAGGTCGGCATCGAAGGGAGTTTCATGTCCACTACGAAGTGCAAGAAGGTTTGTTCATCTTTACTACCCCGATGGAAATTACCCATTAACTCGATCAGGCTCTTGCCGGCGTCCATGTCAATATCATCGACGTCCTCGACTGTTGGAACACCGACGATGTTCCTCGCCGCTTTGCCAGTCTCAGCCAGCTCGCGGAGTACACCAAGAAGACCAACAAGACCTTCAACCGTCACGTTGCCAAACAGGATAAGATCCTGAGGATTCTGCTGCGCCATATCTTCTAAGGGGTGCAATGGTATCGTTTCGGGTGCAGGATCTGACGAACGTCGGATTGGTTTTGAGGCTGCGATGATCAAGAAAGACAGTTAGCAAATTAGGATTTCAATCAAATTGCAATAAGCTTCTAGTTGTTCCTAGTTACCTACTGTTTCTCATCGGTGATATGTCATAACTTGGAGTTAAACAAATACCCCCAGGTGAGTCCGGGAGAAGGGCAGTCAACAGATCACCTAATGGAATTTCAACCGGCTTCTGGAGCCCACCACATCTACTTATCATTAGACGAAAATTGGAATTCCATCAAGCCTGTTCATTTCGCCATGCCCTCATTCATTGGGTTCATCGCTACCTCGTGTTCGTCGACTTTGGCCTGTCCAACACCCTGTCCTACGAGTTCAACGTTCGAGATGCTGGCAATGCCACCTTCGACTACGTGATTGTTGGCGGCGGCACGGCAGGTCTGACGATTGCTGCTCGACTCGCAGACCAAAAGTTCCAGGTAGCTGTAGTGGAGGCCGGAGGATACTACGAGCTCATGCATCGAGTTGCGCGAGTCCCGGGATCTTGCAGTCTCGGAGCGGGTGCAGATGTGTGCACTACTACCCCGATCGAATGGGGCTTCGTGGCCCATCGAGTACCTGGTGCAAATTTTCGAGATATTCATTATCCAAGAGGGAAATGCCTGGGTGGATCGTAAGGTCCCAAACAAGTTTTCAGAGCGGCCCTGGCTGATATTTGCAGGCCTGCATCAAACTTCATGATTTATCAAGATAAGTCACCTCCAGTCCAGATTTACATGCAATACTGACTGTATTTTGGCAGACCATAGGTTCAATCGATGGCGATATGGGCAGAGCTTGTCAATGACTCCAGCTATCTCTTTGAGAATGTGTTGCCTTATGCAAGATGGGTATCGGCGGCGATCGTATGGCTGTTATTGAGAATCGCGCCAGATTCTTTGGTGCCAGAGGGTTGCGAGTCGCCGATGCCAGTGCATTCCCAATCCTTCCACCTGGGCACCCTCAATCAGCAGTTTGTAGGTGAATCTTGCGCCAAAGACTTTATCACTTCTAACAATCTCCAGACATACTAGGAAAAAATATTGCTGCAGATATAATTATCAATGGGTCGGTATGAGGCTTGCAGTCTGCGAGACGCTGTCAAGGGTCACGGCAAGAACACCATGAAAGAGACAGCAATGGAAGTCATTATAATTGTACCATTACCACATATCTTCCAAATACATCTGGTTGAGAGTATCAAACATGTTGTAGTCGCTTGGCAGACTATCAGCAGAAAAGGCAAAGCCGAGATTGTTGACAAAATGCTCATCGGGATTGCTCCCAATCCCAAAGTCATTTGCACCATGTCTATTACCCCCATAGATATCCCTCTCAGAGGAATCAAACCCATGGATAGTGGCAAGCGGTGGTGTTAAGAGGGAATCTTGGATCGGTAAGTCATTTGGGCCCGAAATACCCTGTCCAAACTCAAACGGTGGTGCCATAAACCCATTACCAGCATTCATTTCTGTCGGGTCTACCGGTTGACAAGGCATTGCGCAAGACGCATTAAACTCCAATGACGGGGCAGATGGCATCTGATCAGCATTGCAGTTCAGTCGCTGACAATATAGTTTCTCTAAATTGCGTCCGATACGCTTCGAAATATCCCAAGACGTGGAGAGTTCTCGTAAAGCCTCAAGGCAGAGTCCTACAGCTGCGTGTGGCGATGGACTCTTTGCTTGGGTTCCTTCGGGATTTGAGGTGGGAACAGAACATTTCTCGATGATGATTAATGCTGCCGATAGCATGCAGTGCGTAGGTGTCACAGGGCTCAGCTTGAAGCTGCCAAAAGTCTGTCTGTACTTCTGAGCCACGACACACACTGCCCGAGCAGAGTTGTCGCTAATAGTGATGGCTTTTTGTCTGCGCCGTGTTTCTGATGCATCGCTATTGGTGTCATGTTGGCCTTGTGTATTTTGAATGCAGGCTCCTGTGGCATCAGAACGATTTTTTAGGAAGGGTATACATAGCAGAATGTAGACGGTATGGTATACCATGCACAAAGTGTAGGTGTGTGGAAATCGGGAGGGGCCGGATGGACGGTCAATTTTTAACTCTTGGGCGAGGTCGTAGTACCACGTCCTGAGGTCAAGGACACAGGACTCAAAAAATGATGATCGCTGTGTGGCTTGGAGAAGTGGCTTTGGGGACCAGCTATCAAAATCATCAGTGAACACAGGCATAGAAACGAAGTGCTCATCAAACTCACAATGCGAGAAGGACTTTTTCGAAAATACGACACAAATCAATCATTGCCCGGTGCAACTGTACCACATCTCTTTGGGAGGCAGCCCGGAGTTGCCCGTTCCCATTTGCTGAGGGCAAGCATACATCCGGTGCACATAAAGCGAAGGGCTTATTCACGACTCCTTGGGAGTCCTGTGTGACATAGAAAGGTGAGCTTAGTGAAGAAAAGAAAGAATCGATGTTTTGCAATGTACCAGTAACGTGCAAACCCTCCCTGTATAGCTTGCTGACAGCTTGTCGTGGCAATATAGGGCCCAGTAAATCTGCCTGCGTAACTCAATCTCGATGCTCGGGAGAGCAACTGCCCCCGAGAGGACGGATGGATCCATGTTCAATCCCATATCCAGCGCCAGACGATTGGCCATGCCTTGATGAAGCCACCCAGCGGCGTCAGACCCCATTGCCTGAGTTCGAAAGTCAGTTTGTCTTGTTCATTCCGTTTGGCGAGGTAGGGCTTACTATATAGGCCATGCCTAGAATAGCCAGTGACTGTATTGTTGTAATTTTGGGCCATTTAAGGTCATTCTGGATCAATGCCTCGGCTTTCTTAATGAAGACCCTGCCGGCCGTGTTCGAGTCACTGGGGTCTGATCGGATTTCCATGCGTTTGCAGTATCGTGACCCCATAGCTAGAATGCAATTTAGCAGAAGTGGGCTGAAATACCGGCCTCCATCTTTCATGGAATCTCGAAACAGCTGCTCGTTCACCATTTGCAGCCACGGCTGCTCCCACTCAAAATACAAATCGATCAGATGAGATTTAAGTTCATCGGATATCAGGCTTTCGGCTAAAAGGTCTGTGTCTTCATGAGGTTGACTTGCACAAGCAGTGCCGGAATTCCATGTACAAGGACCGTCGGTTTGATGCGTCTCTTTGGGCGGATCTTGAAGTGATCAGCCACACTGCTAGAAAGCCCCATCTCCGACTCACCCTTTGATGAAGAGCGAAACAGCAACCGCCCACTTGTTGGCCCAAAATAGCGCACCTCGCCATCTTGGTCAAAGTTCAAAGATTCATCCAATGTGAGCGCGCCGTCAAATGTGGTACATAAATCATCGACATTTGAGCAGGGCTCTGCCCACTCGGCATCAGGCTCTCGATCAGGACTATCCTTTTGGCCCAACAGTTGAATCGCAGCATCTGGATCAATCCCGCGAGAGTGCAAGACACGCTCCAGAAGCTCTATTCTGTTACGCAGCATGACCACATAGGACTTGGGGGCTGGTTGTCGGCCATCCTCCGCAGTCGAGTACTGACATTGGACGCCACGGTCAAGACAGCGTGAGCATGATGGTCGAACACCATCGCACTGTAGAGCTTTCATGTTAAGATGGTTCATGAATGCTGTGTCAGGGATATACGATTCTTACCTTGGCTCGTCGTTGTCGACATGTCTCACAGGCGCGGGACGTATACTTTCTGCCCGGTCGTCTACGTCTAGCCGTGTCATCTGTCGGCGCCAGGGACATTGGAAAAGAACAAATGCTAAATGGCGCGAGAGATCCTCACAATCATCTGTAGAAGCTTGAAGAGAGACCGGTGGGCAGTAACATTACAAAGCAGCGCAAATGGACACCTTAATGCCTGAGGTTACAAGGCTGTGATAGTGATGCCTGTCATATAAGGCTACAGAATTAGTCATTATCTCGCCTCAGGTGTCCACCTGGACACCACTGGGCAGTATGGCTTGATGTGTTGCATATTTACTGTTGTTATTCAGGTAAACCAAAGTGAATGTTTAAAACGAGAGCTTATACTTGCAGGTGTCTATGAATGTACACAGGCATATGTATAGATGAACCAAAATTCGAATTTACAGTCCAGGGGAAATATATACATGGAATATATATAACTAAAACTGAGGTCGTTCTCAACTCTACAAGTACAAGACGTAATACTTTCTCGTCATAGACTCGACACGGCAAGAGCCAGAGGATCTGATTGGGGAGAAGCGTAAAGTTTACTCGGGGAGTATCTCAGTGGCCTATACTTAACCAGTAGGAACTGGTCCATCCCCGGTTCTGCAAGGACAGGGATTTGGGGTACAGTTATGTGTATTCTATCAGGTGATTACCCCAGGAGGCTTGGCTTTGTAGTAAAGTACAAGTAGGGTAACTAATAGTAGTTAATAGTGGTAGGTTGATAGTAGTAGGTTAAGTGAATAGTAGTAGGTCAGTTGAGTATAGAGTAGGCTATAGTGCAATTCCTCTATGCCAACTTCGTAGAGGCAAGGGCATTAACAGCTAAATCACCCAAATCACGCTGAATAACTGCATGTTCTACTATTTTCGAGATCCAAAAGCACTTCAAAATGGAGGTACAGAAGTACGTGTGGGAATGTGCCAATCACCGCCCTCACATCCCCTCCCGACTCTCCCTCCTCTCCCACCTCACCTTTCCATTCCATTTCTTTTCTTCCATCTCTGTGAATCTTGAGGGGTTGTCTATTATCCAGCGCGTTGCTGTCGCGCCATTCCCTCCGTTATCCTCCATTTCGTGTTTCAGAACGTGTTCCGGATCACTAGACCGCGATTGTATCGCGGTGGGATCATTGACCCCCCAAGTCCCTGAACTTCATCATGGCCAGCTGATGCTACGGATGAATCAATAACCTCGATAAAGGGCACCCGCTCTGCCCTGCAGACGGTTCTGCTGAACGCTACAATAGTTGTTGACACAATCTCCCATATTTATTCGACTTGTCTCCGCCGTTTCCCGCGAAGCTCCAACTCGCTCCGCCGAGCGTATCAGCATGGCCAGCAATGACTCCCCCAAACCCCAATTCCTCGCGCCTCCCGCCGTAACTGCTCTCAGGCAGGAGGCCCGGAACATCGATCCGAAAATGACTCGAACGTTGAGTGATGATATGCGGGAGGAACGGGAAGATTTGAAGGAGGCAGCAGAACAGACGTTGAACATTATTGTGGATATGGACCTGGAAGGTCGCATTAAATGGGTCAGCCCATCGTGGAAACAAGTGGTCGGCTCATCGCCCGAGACAGTGGAAGGGCATATGATCTCAGAGATTCTCCTGGGCAACAAGGATGTATTCCGGGATTCGATTGAATCGATGAAACAGGATGATTCGCGGAGTCGTTTTATTCGCTTCGCGGTACAGATGGGGCCGGATTCAGTTCTGAAGTACGCGCCGGAACCGCCACCGGTCGCGAAAAAGACGAGTGCAACGAATACAGAGACTATCGAGGATTCCCAGCCCGAGGAAGAGCAGAATCACAATGTGCTCAATATGGAGGGACAGGGGATTATGGTCTACGATCGGACAGACGATGAAGGCGGCCATGTGAGTTGACGATCAAA